CGGCGGGTTAGTGGTGCACAGGTTCAAGCAGCCCTGTAGATGGGGTTACTGTGGTTTGGAGTTCACAGTGTGAAGCGAGTGCCCAGAGTTGGCTGTGTGGTGACACTTACAGCCACGGGGTAAAAAGTCCAGCCTGGAGGTGCTCTTGGTTGTCTCAGCATCCAAGCAGAGGTGCAGGGATGTGTTGCTGGGTTGGAAGCAGCAGTCATCTGCGTGGAGGGGCTGCACGGCTTCAACGGTGTCGCTGGACACAGCACCATGCCTCCTCATGTGGTGCATGGAGAAGAAAAGTCTAGAAAGAGAAACATGAATTTCAATAAGTGAGAAGCCCAAGCTGTTCCCAGCAAAAATACCTTGTAAAAGTGAGACATGTTAGAGATCCCACAGTGGAAGGCGATTCCCTGATGGGGGACAGCAGTCTAGAACCTCACTGTACAGGTGCTGGTGAATCAGGCCTGTTCATAGGAGCTGCCACACAGTCAGCACTGAAAATGTATTGACATCAGCATGGTAGATTTTTGCACTGTTGTGTCCATGCCACCTTTAACCTGTTCGTTCTCTTACCGGTGCTTCTTGGAGGTGCAAAACACTTTCTTGCACAACACCTGTTCATAACTCTCTGCTCAGCACATACATTCCCACTGAAAGCCGTGGTTCAGGATTGGACTATATCCCCATCACTTCACATCTCTTCTTACGCTGTATCCCATCGCTCTGCATTTGGTTTCTTCTCATACGCAGAAAACAGACGCTCAGACATGCCAAATGGTGCCTGCTACGAAGACTGTTAACAGGCCTTTTGCTTTTCTGTTCAGGACACTCTGGGAGGATCTCATCTGTGAGGGCTGTGTGACACGATACCCTTTTTGGACATACTGGTTGGGGCAAGGCTTACACTGCGGGCTTTTAGGCAAGACGGGTTTTACTCAGAGGAGTGAGAACACCACCAAGGGAGAGGAATGGAGCGCTTGGCCTCCTTCAGTAGTAAGTACCATCAGATGACATCTGGAAAGTGTTTGCCATTGTTCAAAGACATTAGGAGCCGTCTGGGGGAGAGAGACAGAAACCTAGCAATGTTTGGTCCGCAGGGTCACTTCTTTGATCAAATCCTCAGGAGCACAAGTACATGAATGATTCAGTGGGAATTTGGGTCTTTTTTTCTACCTACTTTTTATAGTTGGGCTAGTTCAAATCCATTTACTTGGGAAAAATGTGGCTTATAACTTGACAGTCTACTTCTTTTGACTACTTTGCAATGAACAAAATAAGAAAAATTTGCAGAGCACTGTTTCGTTCCGTGTTCAGCAATCTGAGCAGAGTCTGAGGTCTGGACAGGTTACTGCAACCACAGCAATATGCTTTACAAGCCTGACTTGAGGTACATGGGTGGGAGACTGCAGCTGTCCGTGCAGTGTTCTCCACAAATAAGGCCTTGAGTCTGGTCTTTGGTGCAGAACACGAGCATAGGCACAGGATCAAATCAGGCAGCTAGCGCAGCTCCTGGCATCCCTGCTGAGCTGTACCAGCAGGCTGCCACAGAGAAGATTTTCCTTTGAGTCCGTTGCACAAGCTTGGGTTTAGCCCTCGGTGTATCAGGCTAGTAGGGATGCAGTGCCAACATCTCTCGTGCAACTCTAGCTGAACAAGGAACTTTTAACGGTTATTTGGAGAAGGTGCAGTAGGAAAGAGGTTATATACATTTGATTTCTCTTAAAATTACTGGGCACAAGTGAATTTAGGTGATTGCGAAACCAGTGCCTTGTTTGTTTTGCATGAGATTTACTTTTGGCTTCACAGATGATCCTTTTGATAAGCCTCCATGCCGAGGTTGCTCTTCGTACCTCACAGAGCCCTACGTTAAGTGTGCTGAGTGTGGGCCTCCTCCCTTCCTCCTGTGTTTGCAGGTGAGTGCAAGGATAAAAGCAAAGGCATTAATTTCTTTGAGAAAGTCATCAAAGGCCTGTCCAGTGCCAAGCTGTTCCATAAACACATTAATAACCGGTCTCTGTAAACTTGTATCAACACACTTATTTGCTCAGGGACAGGGAAATGACAAAGAAAATGTTGGAGGCTGAAGAATTGAGGCATGAGCAGCTGGAGGAGATCTTTGTGAAGGCAGCCAAAGCCACCTAAAGACATGCAGTCAGCCTGTGTAACAGAGCATGCCGCTGCATGTCTAGGGGGGTATCATTTCTGTCGGGTTTTTATGGCATGGAAAAGAAAAGCCATCTAGAAACACCCTTTCCCTGTCACCACACGTTGTTTTTTTCCTCCCAATGGAAAAGAAAATGTGGGGAAAGTTTGCAATATTGACAATAATTGTTTGTGACCAGATACAGTTCTTTTAAAATTATGTGTGTGATCTGATAACGACAGAATGTACTGCTAGTTTTATTAAATCAATAAGCTTGCATTATTTATGATGAAAAAATGGCAATAACCTCTAAAACTGAAAAAGGAGCTTAGCCTTGTGCTCAGATATGTACAAAATGCACAAAACCATATTTTGTATATTGGATATATTTTTGTTCATTTACCTGTACTTAAAAAAACCCATAAATTTAACTGTTGAAAATAGCTGCAAACCATGTCGGTGCTTTTTAAACAGAAAACCAAGATTAAAGGGAAACTGTGTTTTCAACACTTAAGAAATGCTCCATGTTCTCTTCTTGGAATGATGAACTTTAAAACATACAACCAAGCTGCTTTCACCTGCCTAACTTTGCGGTAAATACTTAACAGAAAAGTATTTTGATTCACAGGTGTTAGTCTTGGCGCCAAAGACAAGTAAGATACAAAGACAGATTTAACACAGTTTTAACAAAGATTTTTCTACCATTTAATATTTTTTCTAAAATCAGAAAAATTTAATATCTTTTTCAGCATATCGGGTGCCCAGTTTTGGATACCCAGTGGTCAGAGAATAAAAGGAAAGAGGGGACAAGTTAAAATGTTTTCAGGGCAGAAGTAAGAGACTAACATAATGCTAATCTTTTGTTCTACAGTGTTTCACACGAGGATTTGAATACAAGAAACATCAAAGTGATCATACTTATGAGATAATGGTAAATATTCCTTTTAGATAACACCTACTCAGTCTTAAGCTTTCATAACTTCCCAGGAGTTAGACTCTTGCTTACTAATATTACATTGAAAAGTAAAGTGATACAATTCTTTGATGCAGAAGTTTAGAACTATTAAAAAATGGAAAAGTCTTCCTTGAGAGCAGAGAAAAATATCCACCTGGAACATAATGGAATAGTGGAGATACTTAAAGCTGCATTTTTTTATTGTGCCTAGTACATCTCACTGGACTTCCAATTCTTTAACCATGTGAATCAACTTCTGTTTCTCTCTTCTTGTTTTTTCTTCCCCAAAATTAATAACTTTTGAAAGTCTTCAGGAATTTTTATTGTGTTTCATAGCATAACATTGTTGAATTACAGCTGGTAGATACAATATGTAATAGTATGTTCAGAGATCTGTAGTGACAAACTAGTTTTTACTGCAGTTGATGACCCAATGGCCTAAATAATTCAACAGTTATTTGATCAGGTTTCATGGGACACAGTAAAAGTTTAAAACTACCAGTATTATATACTATGTTGTCCTGTAGTTTAGAATGTCTTTACTTCTCATGTGGTGGATTATAACAGAGGATCACAGCAGTTTGATTTGCTTTTTTTCTTCTCTAGACTTCCGATTTCCCTGTCTTGGATCCTAACTGGACAGCTCAAGAGGAAATGGCTCTCCTAGAAGCTGTGATGGACTGTGGATTTGGAAACTGGTGAGAATTTAGGGGTTCAGCCAACTTCAGTGAATGATGGGTAGTTTTTCCTTTCATTTCACTGGATCTTACTGTTGAATAGATTATGTGCACATTGAATGTTCAGTGACTTATTTTGGGTGAGACACTAATTTTCCAGCCAAAGTGGAAGACAGGGGTAGCAGACTGATTTTTGAGATCTGTTAGATATACAAGGAAATTGTTAAAGGCTTCTTGTGAGATGCAGGGCACCTCCAGTGCAGTACAAAGTTCCCTCAGTTCACATTAAATTCACTAGGTTTTGCAGGAGTTCAACTATTGCACAAGATTTTCTGTGCCTCAGTTTACTCCTATGTAAAAACCAACTACAGAATTTCTTCTCTTGTGTGGTTTCAGTCTGCTTACATTTGACTAGCTAGGTAATGTCGTATTTAGGATAGAGCACTGGAAATATTTAGTATTTTTACGTTACGTTCTGTTAAGTTAATTTCTGTAGTTGCTACAGGATTTTTATGCATTTGTAAATAAAGGAGGTCTGTAGTCATGAGTTACCTCTCTTCTCCTTCATGAAAAAATAGCTTTATTAAAAGTATAGGAACTCCAGATTTCACTGAAACCGAACTGAGAGTTCTTATGTGTACACTGCTGTCTTAATTAAGACTGAAAACTGGTTGCAGTTATGCTCTGCAAGTATGCTGTCTAGTACACTTTGCCCTACTTAGCAATACAAGTAATCTTAACTTTTTCCTTGAGCACTTGGCTTTTTTTTAGCCTTTACCAAATAAAGGGAAAACTGACTTTTCTTCCTGGAATCCCTTGCATCCAGTTTTTAGTTTAAGAGAAATGAAAATGGTTGCTGCTGGTGGATTTTTTTTTAAAGTCCTCAACTTACACAGACACTTTATTAAGGCAAAATACTTCATGTTTCTAGTCAACCACTTTTCCAAGAAAGTTTGACAAAGATTTCTAGAATGTGTTTTGTACAACCATTGGTGTTTAAAAAAATCCTGTTTAACATGAAAGGGGAAACCACTATCCAGTTAAAATTGCGAGAGAAACCTGAGAAGCAGAATGCAATTCCAGACTTAGAATTTACTATTACCTGGAGTTAGTAAAATGTATAAAAGCTCTCAAATAACAATAATAAATTTCAAGCATATGAAAGATTTGGTACATTCCATCAGCCAGGGAGTTTCTCATGTAAAGACAGTGAATTGCCTTACTCATGACCACCATAAAAGTGCTCCCTAGCACTGTATAAAACATGTAAGCATTGGCTCAGTGTTAGTATGCAAAATGTGAATTCAGACATCACCACAGATAAGTTCTCTGCACACAATGCACTCAGTCTCTTGTCCAAAATTATCTTCTCTCGCTGGAGAAAGAAAAAAACCCTCAACATTTCTGTGTTCTTCACATTAAGCCTCCCCCTCTCCCCACTTCAGGCAGGACGTAGCCAACCAGATGTGTACAAAATCCAAGGAGGAGTGTGAGAAACATTATATGAAACACTTTATCAACAATCCCTTGTTTGCATCTACGTTACTGAACCTGAAGCAGGCGGAGGAGGCACAGCACAACGAAACAGCCATTCCTTTCCACCGTGAGTATCCTCTGCCTGCTAGCACACGCAGAGAGCTTGCCCGCAAGGTCTCCGCTCCTCCAAAACTGGAACGAGCAGCCTTTGGAGAAAGGCATGCACCGCACATGCAGTTCGTTTTCATTCCCAAAAAGAGAGCTTGTTCTGATGGCTAACTTGAATAATGTTAGTAGCAGGGTTTTCCTCACACTGTGTTGAGTCATTGGTGTATCAAATAAACAAGACTGCCAGTTCAGTGAGAAAAGGGAGGGAGCAGAGCGGCCTGAGACAAAAATCAGGTTCTCGAAAGCAGAAGTTCTGGCATAGCCAGTGGAAATGGGCACTCACAGAAATCACCACGGCAAAAGCCTGGATGTGCATATTCATTTTAGGGACACGCTACCTCAAAGCTACTGCACATGTGGCACGATATAACAGCGTGTCCTTCATGGTAAATACCAGTGTGCGTTCTCGCCCTGATGCTGGGGTGGTTACTTTTCTTGTCCAGAGCCTGCGTAGCAGTGTTAACAGAGAAAGGACTTCTACCTTTAAAACGTTTCGTCTGATTATCCAGTGTGTACCGGGCCTAAGTGCTGATGTGATTTGTCATAAAATCATTCCCTTTAAACTATGCTGATTTCATACCTCTCTCAAACTGCCTTCTAAGAAGAGTATGTATGTTAAATTTCTGCAATTTAACAAATTTTCAGTTTTCCTTACATTTAATGTCTTTAGAGTTCCCCCAGTCTAGCAGCTGTTCCACTATAAAGCTCCCCAGAACGGCGGGGTAAAAAGATTGCTTGGCATCTGGAGGTTTAAATTTCATGATAAAGTGGTTAGAGCTAAAGCAGTAGGAACTAGACAATTTTGGTTCTGTCCCTGGCTATCATTGATTTTTTTATGTGACCTGGGCCAGAACAAATTCTCTGTGCCTGAGCTTGCTTTATCTGTAGCATGGGACTTAAAATGCTTAGCTCCTTCACAAGTCTGTTGTGAGCCTTGGTCCATTATTGTCTGTAAAACACTGAGCTCCTCAGCTGGGAAGCGCTGTAACAATTCGGCGCTGCACAGCTTTAATTGCAGCTCTCTGTAAATGGCACCCAGAAGATGGCAGATTTAACACCCCTGTTGCTATTAACTAAAAGAACTTGCACGCTGAGACCGAGTGATCTGCAGAGGTTTAGCGGGGGCACGCTGAGCTCTGAAATGTAGAGTTTACGTTTTATAACCTGTTTATTACCTTGAATTTCTGTGTTTGACTTTTGAGAGTACTATGAAGATCTCGGATTACTGCATTTTGCTGTGGATGAACTTGGGTCTTTTTCTGAATGTAAAGCTGAATAAAAGCCCAATAAAGATGTTTTTCTTCAACTCATTATTCCCACTTTTCCTGCAAAAGAAACACCTATTTACACATCGTTAAAAAAAGACCCCAAGCCCTACACAACAACTACAAACCTTTATTTTTTCAGCTGCTGATGATCCCCCACGGCCTACTTTTGATTCCTTGCTCTCCAGGGATATGGCTGGGTACATGCCGGCGAGGGCTGACTTTGTTGAGGTAAGGCTCTCTCTTCTCCCATTATTTTAAATTTGCTGCTGAATGCAAGATCAGCAAACGCACACTTGTTTGCCCCTGCCTGTAGGTCTTTACTCTTCATATAAAAAGCATCAGAAGAGAGGACAGGACAGTGATTAAGCCAGGATTTAATTACAGAGGTGGCGCTGCAGGCCTGCGAAGCCTGGGGTCCCTGCCTTTGTGTGCAGGGGCTGTAAGGCATGCTGCTACCACCAGATGTCCAGTAATGAATGGCTTTTATGTAAGCGGACTAGATGATGTGAATTCGATGCTTGGCAAAAGGGGTCAGCTTCAGCATGCTTCTATTTCATTTGCCGTAGAGAAGCACGTATGAGCCTGATCCAAAATCACTTGAAAGACCTGCATTGTTTTCAGTGTTTTTAGCTGTGGGCCCAGGGCCCCAATTCCTGTTGCAAAACAAGATCCTGTACATGAAGTAATGAATTCAGCCATATAGGGGCTTGTTGTTCTTGTAGACTTGAGCAGAATTTCCACCACAGCGTGGAAGTCATGGAGATTACCTGATTAATTCTCATTATCCTATCGCAGCATCCTGTTCCAATTCCAGCCATGGGGGTGCATATTATACATTCCCTAGTTAAAGCTCCCCTGTGATGTATGGTGCTCGAGGACAGAACCTTGTACAACTGTGTATGAGTAACTATCTCTGGTTTCAGTACTTCTGCCTATACTGATAGCGATTTTTTAGTGCTAGTTAGTGACAATTTGTTAATCACCTCTGAACAGGAGTTTGACAACTATGCTGAATGGGATTTGAGAGATATTGATTTTGTAGAAGATGATTCAGACATTTTGCATGGTAAGTCCCATATTTCTGTACATTGTCTGAAAACAACGTTTCAGAGTGCCTACACAGCATTTCATTGGGTCTCTTTTTCTCTATACACTTTTTAAAAAGCGAGCATACATTTTTAATGATCTCACTTCTGTGCGCTGGGATTAAACACTGGCATTTCTATGGTGCTGCTCACTTTCAAATCTCTTTTAAAAGCTCTTAATCAACTGACGTACAAACGGTACTTATATATAGAATAATGCATTTCACTCACTACTGAAATGTCGCCAGTTGTAAAGTAGAACATGACTGAAATCGAATAGTCTCCACCAATAGTAGGCATCTCTTTACAAAAGACACAAATGGTGGTTTATCTAGTATAAGCTTTAGAGAAAGTTTAGCTAAGTAGAAGGAAATTATCTGAGATAGCAGTTTGTCTGGAAACAGGTAGCAGTACATCAGTGTTTGAATAAACAGGCCTACAGGCCTATTAAAAAAGAGAAACATCAGTGCCTTGGTATTACTTCCCCTCCCTGGCTGAAAGATAATTCTTTCCATCTACATAGTGTTTTTGAGCATCATAGTAAGGCACAACTTTTATTCTGATTCAGAAAGAGCAGCACTTTCTTCTCTGTTGCTAATACTCTTTTCCCTACTGTATCTAGTTTCTTAGATCTGCCACTTATTCTAACCTTTGTTAGTTTAGGAAATCTGATATCGGGATAGATACTGATACAGGCAGCAAGGAGGTGTGTAGTTGCAACATAGTGAAACTTCTGCTCTTGAAGTTGTGTGGTTTGTCATGCATTAAACATGCACACTGACTTACAGTAGCATTAGCTGTATGTGACAACTTTTTTATTGTCAAGAGGGTGGTTGTTGTATGAGTCCAATTACTGCTACTGAGTTTCTGTGGGTGTTGCTGCCTTAATAATACCAAATAACAGGAGTTATTAAAATGAAGTTTTAATCTATAGAGAAGAAAAGATCGTACTTCTCCCCACATTTATAAGTACATACGGTGTTTAAAAGTACTGTATTTATGCTTCAGAGCTCTCCCATCTATATCATGCAGTTCTAAGCTAAAGCCTTAGCATGCCTCGGAGACAGACAAATCCTGTTACATACAGACAGTCTTTCCAAACTTAAAAAATCAGTTTGAAACTTACCATTGTACACAGAGTTTTAAGGAATGCAAACTCCCTTGCCTCAAAAAAGGTTGAGAGAGTCACATGTCAGTCTCTCTTCCCTTTTAACATTTATTGAAAGGGGACTGGCTTGTGGATATGTCACGGATTCGTCATGCTATCTCTCTACTGTTTCTTTTTATTACTATTAAAAGATGTATTTTCATGCTTCCATGTCCTCTACTGAGTCCTGGTAAACTGAAAAAGCAAAATAATATCCTAATTCTGTTCATTAATTGATAGCTTAATATTCATTCAAGCTGTTTTATACCAGCACTGTCTTCCATACCCCTCACAACGTCTTCCACTGCCCAGTTCAGCCATTTAAGATATCTCTTGTTTAAGTTCAGTTGTCAATCTGAATGCAAAAATCAGCTTTCCTCATCTCTTCAGAATATCATAAAGCTGTACAGGGCCAGACCCTTTGGTCTGTCTAGCTCAGCGTCCTGTTAGTACCCCATAGCAGATGCACAGGAGAAGAACGTAAGAAAAGCTAAGTATAGGCAGATACTCTTCCTGGCATATCTTCCACATTTCCTGCAGTGGTAAGTTTAGAGACTTCTTGAGCCACAGGTTGTGTTCAGACCATTTTGACCACAGGACCTGTCCTCATGAACTTAGCTAACTACTGTTAGAACTGTATATACTTGTGCTTTTGCACCCATAACATCCTGTGGCAGTGAGTTCCACAATTGAGTTAGGAGTTCTACAATTTAATTATGTGTTGTGTGAAAAAATACTTCCTTCTGTCTGTCAAATCTTTTGCCTGATAATTTCATTGGATGTTCTCTAGTCCATTCTTCAGTTGTCTTCAGTATTTAGTATAGGATGTCAGGCATTTGCCCTGTGAAAACTGTTTGGCAGAGGTTGTGGAGCGTGACTAACTACATTTTCGATCTCTTAGCTCAGGGACTTTGGCAGCTTCCTTCCCACATCTGTCCTAGATCTGCCCACGTGAGAGGGAATGCCTTTAAAAAATGAAGTCCCAGGGTCTAGCCAGCAGTTTTTCTTTTACATGAGGCATCTTGGGCAGAGTAAGAATTATTTTCTAAAAAAACTTCGGAATTAGACCTTTCCCTTCTCTAAGTTAATATTAAAAAGGAAGGAGCCACATCCTCCCTGTCCTGCAGTTTTAAAGATCTCAGATGCTGACTTTGCTTGATTGCTTGAGAATATTTTGCAACCTAATTGTAGGATTTCATACTGTAGAAAATGGCTCAACATTTGGATCTGAAGGCAGGGACAGGCATTTGGAAGATTTAAGAAACCTTTGTACTTTCTAGTTACAGGCAGAGAAGGTTGTGAGGCAGCCCTGGAGGCCCCCGTTCTCCCGATCTGTCCTGCTACTTCCAGGCAGCGGCTCTAACGTGCCTCTCTCCCCAGCCCTGCCCACTGGCAAACTTCTTAAACTAGATCTTACAGAAGTGTCCTTGAAAAGCAGCCCTGTGGCTGTCTTCCACACCTGCTCAAATTTTTCTGGCCAAATAGCAAACTTTTTTTATAAAAGCTAAAGATGTAGAACAGGGTTTTAACACTTTTTATAGCCCAGAGAAGCCCAAATGGGGTCTTGCAGCATAGATTAAGTATCAGGTTTGGGAAAAAATCCTGTTTGTTTTCCTGCCATGCCTTAAACCTCACCAGGTTTAAGATTAATTTTTTAAAACTGCTTTTGTATGCCATTTTCTGAAAGTTACTCAAGCTAGACCCTAAGAGCACACCAACCAGAATAATTTCTATGGTCTCTCTTTTGTTTCACAAGTTACAGATCAGTGTGGCAATGTCTGGGTTGCATGTAACACAGGAATGTTTGATGCTTTCATTGGAACGGAATTCCCCCTTCTTCGCTTTCCTCCACACTGCTCTGCTTTTCTTAAAATTTTGTAAAAATTACTTTATAAAAAGTTCTAGAGCTAATCTACTTGACCTTTCATGATACCATTGCATTTTCCCTGTTACATCTTCCTGTGTCACTCTAAATAGTTCTCAGTATTTCCACAAGAAAGAAGAATGCAATTTAATACAAGGTGGAAAGACTCCCAGGCAGCCTTGTATGGAGGAACCTGCTGATTCACCAGCTCCTCCCACCACACAGGAGGTCACAGGCGTTGTTCAGTCTCTTCTTGATATTAGTGAGATGGTGGAAATTGTATTAAATCTCTCATATTTCAATTTATTGAACTGTTAATTTTTATTCAGCACTTGCAATATAAGAAGTGCATGCAAATATATATTGCAGTTAAAAAAAACCATAATGGACAGATCAAAAGAAACAACTAGTTACAAATCTAATTCATTCCGGAGTGCTTCAATATTTCATGAATTACAAGTTTTCATCAGACTGAATTATAACCTTAGTAATATATCTTTTTCCCAGCTTTTTCTCCCCTTTTCTTCTCATGTAAGTGATTTTTACTTCTAGCACTGGCAAGCAATTGCTGAAACTGCAAGTTTAGAAGTGAGTGGAAATAGACTGCAACTCCGGCTGTACAGTAGCGAGGTTTCATTTTATAAGATACAAGGCAGCCAATGTCCTTCTAAATATGTTTATTCTTTTGTGGAAGTTCCTGACATGCTCTGAAGGCAGATACTCTCTTTGCCTGGGGTCCTGCTTTCCTCTAGAGAGGGTGAATTTGGATTGTAGCCATTAAGTTTGTACCAGCCAAGGCACCCACTGGATACGCAGCCTGTTTACTTTGATTAGTTTGCATTCTTCCCATTATTTGGGCCTTGCATGCCAAACAGAGGTTAGCTACCATGAAACAAAGGTCTCACTCATTAGTGTTCAGAAAAGTTTTGCAGACCAAATGAGGCTGAAGAGGAATGAAAAGCAAACTGTTTTGGACACACTCTTGAGAAACCAAAATATTTTCATTTTTTGGAATGAAGAAAGGAGCCTTGAATTTCTGCTTATCACTGGATCCTTCAAAGCTCCTCTGACCATCTCAAAGAACCTTATCATTTCTGAAAGTGGACACTTTGAACACAGTGTCCGCTTGGATTATCTTAAGCTACCAGTACAAAAAACTGCCTCCCTAGTATAATCCATGGGGAAAAGCACAGGCAAATCATTTTCATTCATACAGCATCTCTTTTCTCATTTCAATGCAGCATGTAACAGTATAGTAGTCTGAGTTATTCATGCATTCCAGATTTTGTAATCAGCTGCTCCTGTGTGAATATGTCTATTAAAAACAAAAGCCCCTCCAAAAGTGCATGTGGCAGCAAATACTAATTTTTCTGTAAGCAGAAGCTCCACTTTTTTTTCTCCATTTGTTCTCATGAATGTTCCTTCCCCTCCCCAGTTCATCATAATTTCTTTCAGAATGTTGTGCACTCAGGTGAAAACATCAAAATGCAGCGGTTATAGGTGCATAATTACTTGTGATATTTATAGAGGTTCTCCAATGCAATTTCTGCATGTACTTATTAAGTTCTGCCCACACAAACCCCAGAAAATAACATGTTAGCTTAGCTTGCAGAGGGCTTAAAAATATAAAAATATTTTCCATAAATTGGCACCGATTCCAACACTTAGTAATATATTTCATTCATGTTTAACTTGCTGCATGTCCCAATTTCCTGTCCCCACATTTAAGCAAGAAGGAGAATTTGCTACCTGTGCTTGTTCTTAAATTAGGAAACTTAAATACCTCCTTATGAAAACACATGATGATTCCTGAACACTCTGGTTTTGCAAGAAATTTGCAAAAAGACGAAAGAGTATTGTACCATCCCTCCTATCTTCATACATAATCTTTTGCTTCTAAGTTAACATTTAATCAGTTTTGTATAAATTGAAGATTTTTTTGCTCATAGAGGATCAGCAAGTGTAAGTCAAAACTGTTGGCTGCTGAGCTGATACGCACAGCCCTTGGGCTTCAGCTGTCCCTGTTTATAGGAAATTTTATTACCCGGAGAACTGCCCAGATGAATTGCCTAGAGGCTGGGGGCTTCCTGCTATTTGCATATAAATACATATTTTAAAATAGACACATAACCACACTTCTTCCTTAATTACATTATTAATTATTTATTGGCAAGTACAATCAATAAACTGCCAGTATCAGTTTTGCTCTTTCCTCGTAACTACAGAGAGAGGAGTGGATTCTGGGTTCTGTCACACTTGGGCCACCCCTGCTCACACAGCACAGTCAGCTCAAAGGAGACGTGCTCTTGCTTAGTTTCAAAGAGCTGCGTGTTGTCTCTACAGGCTGTAAACCCACTGACAAGTCTTAAGTCTCTTCCTTCTGAAAGCATATTGAAGTGATTAACGTAAAGGAAAAAAAGATGACCAAGAAATAAGCCAACTCTATGCTTATTTAATGACCTAGAATTTTTACATTATTTAACAAAATGAGGGAAGGGAAGGGGGTAGGTGTGTCCTTATCTTTTCTTTCAGGAATTTACCAAAAAAGTTTATTAACCTAATGGTTACAGGAAAAAAAAGCTGAAGGATCTCCGAGTGGATCAGCCAGACTGCAGACAGATTTGATTTTGAAAAGGATATGATTTCTAATGAGCATGGCTTTTTCCTGTGCTGCTTCACATTGTTGTGAACTGTTCTCTTTGTTCGTCTGGCAGATTAGATAAGTTTAGTAGTTAACAGGCTAAAATCTTGTAGATGTTTTTAAGAACTGTAGCAAAGGCTACTTTGAATCTTCACAGTTCAGAACTGTGTCTATCTTTTGGAGTTCCTTGTTCTGTGCAAAGAAGCCTTTGTCCAAAGATGATACCTTAGATCCTTAAATCTGATAAATTTGCTTTTCAGGAGAAGGAATACTTAACAATTGCATATATGAAGGAACAAATAAGTGCTAATAGTAAAACAGTCCAAGAAGGAAAAGAGTTCTCGATATCTACCCAGGTTCATATTTACAGGCAGTAATGTACTTGGAAGGAGTAAGCAAAAGAAAGCTTCTACAGGTAGCATGAAAGTCTGCAGAAGGTTAGCCTCTAGTGAGTTAATGCCCGTGTAAAATTGCCACAAGACTTTTAAAACAGCAAAGAGTGACCATTTCAGCTTACCATGAACATAAAGGCTTGAAAATTAGCCTAATACAGTGATTACATATATTCTGTAAATTTTTTTTATTATTATTTTGCAGCTCTGAAGATTGCAGTTGTAGATATCTATCACTCCAGGTTAAAGGAAAGACAGAGAAGAAAAAAGTGAGTTTTCAAGCAATAACTGTTTTTGTTCCTTTACTTCATTACCATGTTTTGGTCCCCAGTGTTGTCCTAATACTAAACATAACTGATTTCCTACAGCATCCTACCAGACAATTCCCATGCATAGAGACCTTCTGCTATGAGATCTGCATGACAGGCTTCATCCTGGGTGCGTGGTTCTCCTGTACGCAGGTTAAGATCAGGCACATGGCTTTAGCAATGGTACCAGCCCAGAAAACACAGATTAAGAGACCCTGATACTTATTTGCACACACAGTTGACAAAGGACCTCTACATATCATCTCTCCTTTAAACTCTCAAAACAAGTCATTAATTGTGGAAAACCTATTTTCCAGTCCTTCTTAGTGCATGAAAGTCATGTACGCAGGGCTCTTCACGTTACTATCCCAAATCCAGTTACCCATAGATAACTAAGCTTCTAGCACACCTTAGGAGATCACATAGCCACTTTTCAGCATGAGAAGCTGAAATACTACCTGGGAAACCAGTCACAGATCCAGGGCTAGGAACCAGAAAAAAACGGCAAATCTCTGTTCTTTTTGTTCCCTGTGTAATGCTGATGGACTGCACATAATTAATTTTCTACTTTAGGGAAAAAAAAAAACCTGCCAGTCTGTGACTAATTGCTAGACCCCCACTTTCTCCATAGAAATGTTTGTATCATTATTTTTAATTCTTAGTGGTCCATAAGTTAGTTTTCCACAATGTGTAATGAAGATAACTATATTGCTGGTGTGAGTTTGAATAATTTATTCAGTTCATTTGACAACTTTTTAGAATGACTCATTCTATTCATTAAATTTAATTTTATTATAACTTTCAAAGAATTTGTTCAATATCTAAAATTATATCTGGCTGTATTACTCACTGCTGGAAGAATTATAAATTTGGAGTAAGACTCCTCCATTCCTTCTCCTCATAACACAGCATAGTTCTGCTGAATGACAGGTAAGACTTGATATGTATTGACCTGGTTCTTTATAATTTATAAATAAAAAATATTTATGTGGTATAATTTCCATGATGATAAATCATGTTGTATTGAAAGAAAGTGTCATAAGACTCAGTTGCATAACTCAAATTGGTGTCAGTTTTTGTAAAGTTTCTACAGCAGGATGGGACAAAAATCTGGAAAATGACATAAAAATGCTGATGTCATTCTCAGAAAGGCTTCTCTACATGGGACAGGAATATTCTTTTATACATACTAAAGAAAATGTAATGGATTTTATAGAGCAAATTCCAACCTGACCTTGACGAGCCCAACTTTGTAGTATCTCTTATCATTTGCAAAAGTCGTGTGTTTATCAAATCGCCACATAGCAATGACCACGTGACATTTGCTGAAAACTGTGACAAATGTATTTGTCATGCACTTGTAAATGCCCTACCTGCCTTTCTACTCTGCTCACTTCCCTTGATCCTGTTAGGAGCATTTCAAACTTGTGAGTTACCTAAATCATTTTCCTCTTTTTAAAATCTAAGCTGTCATGGAAAAATTCCTTCATCCTGCTCCCAGTGGCACAGTTTACAGTCCATCTCTCATCCTTGCTCTAGCAGAAGGACGTTTGTCTCTCTCTGAAGCTGGAAATCGTGCTTCGTGAGACATTCCTTTACCTCCAATTTTGGAAGGACAAGTTATAAGACACTGTAGATGTGAAATCTGTGCCTAAAGAAGCAATTTCAAACATTTAAGGCGATTTTAGCTCCTTTCGTGCTTAGTGCTGTCAGAGTTGGACTAATGCACAGTGCTATCCAAAATTTACCAAAATTTAGCCGTGCTGCATCACGACATCATATTTCTGAGCTAGCCAGCACCAGGGTTATGGAAATTTCATACGTGTTTAGTTTTAGACCCCTCTGATGGTCTAGATCAAATTTTCTTCTGAAGCCTTTGCATTTATGAGGTAATACATGAGTCAATGCCTTTTATTAACACCATTTTGTTCTCAATTACAGAATTATAAGAGATCATGGCCTAATCAACCTCAGAAAATTTCAGAGTGAGTATCAGGTGTAACTGCTTAACCTTGAAATGGCCTCTATTCGGGAAGGAAAACTTTGTATGTTCACTGTTTCCAGTGCACCAGTGTGGTTTATTCATACTGGACCATATTCAGATGGTGTGAATCCCAGCAGATTTCCTGCCCCAACTGTTTCCAGCCGGCTGGCTCTAACTACTCACGGCTCAGTGTTTTAGTTATTGCCTCAGAATTGCTCTTCAGAAGCATTCTGAGCTCCACTCAATGGGGAGAGGGGTGAAGGTGAAATCTAAGCCTTTTAAGTGCATCTCACTAGTCTAAGAAATGATCAAACAACATTTAAATGTCATCCTTTATGCTTTTAGAATTTCAAGGGCTGTATAATTATGTTGCTTTTTACTCCTCAGCAGCTTGTAGTTGTGACACCAAAACAGCCAAAAAGTGTTCCAAATCTGGATCTTGGCTGGTAGGCACTTCAGGGTCAACTGAATTTATTTTCGTCTCACAGTTGGAGTGATACCGTGTGTCACTTTTTTCCCCTTCTAGTTTTGGAAAGGCGATATCCAAAGGAGGTTCAAGACCTTTATGAAACAATGCGACGATTTGCACGAATTCTTGGACCGGTAGAGCATGATAAGTTCATTGAAAGCCATGCATGTAAGTATTTTGAGGATTTTAGCATATATGATGTTCAATAGGCATAATGAGGCATTGCATCACCTACAATCTTTCCTAAATATATGATACTCCTGGAGGGCAGGAGGTTGTTTTTCTCCTCTTCCCCCATTTAACTACCTCAGAAAAACAAGTACGTTTGTGGTTTGATACATTAAATGAGCAGCAAGTGGTTTTTTTCCACTAAACTCTGTCTGAGTTCTTTGTTTGATTTCTCAGCTGACTGAACATTCTGGTCATGTGTTAGCAGTAGTATTTTCTTATCAAAAGACCACTATTCATTTACTGGGAGTCTGTATCACTGAAAGAACAAAATCTCTAGAATTTATGTCTGTACTGAGAGATCAGGAGCTAGCAGCAAATTGTGAATTCTTTGAAAGATACATGTTAAACTATTATATGTGTACATAATTACGTAGTACAGCTGTCATTATGTCCCTTACCTTAAAGGGAGAGGCATTGTTCCACCACTGAATCATCTCGAGTCTTTATGCATAATCATAGCATGCATTTAGTCAAATTCCAGTGCGAGTCATTACATCCTGCTTAATTCTGTGAGTTAAACTGGGAAAATTGTTGCTCATTAGAAGGAACAAAGCATTTAAACAGTTGCAACTATATTTTCAGGACACCCTGTGTGAAATACCAAAAGTATGATCCTGCAAAATCATGAATCCCACATGTGAGTGCTAGTCCTGGAACCCAGTTTTGCTGTTGTAGTGACAACAAAGTCCTCAAGTTAACCTGATAGTCAAGTACACGCGTTATACAGATTTCCTGAGTAGTATGAGTAAACAAATTCGAGACTGTAAATCTCAGCAATGCCTGGAAGCCAGCTGATAAAAGCTATAGGCAGTAAATATCTCTGAGCAAAAGAAACATGATTATTTAATCTTACTGACTGCAGAGAGTTGTCTGCAAGGAAAAATTTTGGAAGGTCCAGTTATGAAAATCATAGTTCAAAGACAATATTAGATGCTATAAGGAGCCTGAATGGAGTAGTTTTTCAAACCTGTTGAAATGCCTTGCAGAAATCCTACATTATTGTTATTTGTCTTGTCCAGGGTATGGCAAAGGAACTGTCAAAGCATGAAGATAAATAACTTTTCTTAGCACACAAACACTAGAAACCAATTTAAATCTGTGATCAAGGAGTGTTAGGACACAGTGAGTTTGAGATCTGATAGAGACTTGTGCAGAGAGGTTAACCCTGTCTGTGGTTCTGTATACTTTATAGCCAAACCATGTAGACAAATAAGAAATAGCAATGTTCCAAGTACACCGCAGTTCACTGCCACCCCCACTGACCCACATTTGTTTTTTGGATTTCCCTTCTGCTTACTCTTGGGGTAAAAAGTGGAATTTGAGCTGCGCAGGGAAATAAAGCGACTACAGGTGCAGGAATCACCAATTTCTGTAGTAAGTACCTCATGCATTATTCAGCCCATTCCCATTCATCAAGGTGTGGAAGGATGATTTTACAACATTTAGGATGTGTTGAATAAAAAGACACTTATTTTTGAGATGTATTAGTCTAGGTCTTTAACTGAACAGGGCTTTAGCAATAATGCTTTAGCCCAGCTGTGCTTTTTTAAAGCTAGTTTGAGCCATCAGCTTGGAGAACTTGCTGTCTAGCAGAGCTCCGCTTTAGTCACCACTTCGCAAAAGATTCAGGACAAAAAAAAAAAAAAAGTCATGGCACAAGGGGTCTCCAGTGCTTTGTCTCGAGACACTTTCACTGGCTATCAACAAGTGTGATATCTGGAGAGAGTCCTAAGACCTCTACATAAATGAAATGGCCTGTTTTATCCTGGAATTGGATCATGGAAGCCCCTTTTGTTTGTTTTTGGCCTGAAGTTAATGGGGGGAGGGGTGCAGGGTGGAATCTAATACCTTCCCATGCCAAGTAGTTGTCATGAGGGAGAATAGCAGAGTCTGGTCCAGAGCTAGAGGACGGTTTTTCACTTACTTCCTAAAGTAGAAAACAGTCTTAAAATTTTGACCAAGGCAGCTGGTGAGAATGTGGTATCTGTTCACCATAGGTGCCAGAACATACGATCACCTGAAGAAGACAAGAGATGAGGAACGCCTAAAGCGCACTATGCTCTCTGAAGTCCTGCAGTACATCCAGGACAGCAGTGCCTGCCAGCAGTGGCTCAGTCGACAAGCCGATATGTACGGTTACAGTAAGACTGTGCATTTTACATACCTACGCTTTAGTCAGAGAGGGGCATCAAACACTTTTTTTTGCTCTGATAACAAAAAATGCGTTCCCGATTTATTATAGTACGAACAGTCTGCAAAATTCAGAAGGGCAAGAAGCTGTGGATACCAGCAATAGTGCTTGTTGAAGTGCAGGCAACAAGGTGACTAGTAAGGGTTCAAAATCTCAGTTTTCTGTATTTTATATTTCAGGAACTTAACTGCTGTTAATAAAGTCATCGAGGGAAGTAAGGTCTTTATGGATATTAATGAGGGTACAGATGAAACTTGAAATATTTCAGATGATTTTAGATGTAGCAGCATTATTAATGTGTAGTCACCCTGCACAAGCACTTTGGTTTAAGGAGCAAGCTGCAATGCAAAGGCAGCGCATCCTGCATGCTACATGGTCTGAGAAGATGATTTGGAATCGCCCCAGTCAGTCTCCACTGAATTTTTTATTGTGTTCCCCACCCCGCCTTTTTTTTTTTTTTTTTAACAGGTTTCACAGACATGGTCTTCAGTCTGGGAGTGCTAAGTGTTTAGAAATGCTGTTGACTTCAGATGAGGGCCTGGGTTATGCAAGTTGACTTGTACAGTTATTAGAAGTTGGGGAAAAAGTAGTTTCAGGACTAAACTACTTTTAGTTTAGCAGGACCAATACATGCAGTTATTCTTAAAAAAACATGAAGGCAATTTGAAAATTTCCTTTCTTTTCAGTGATTCCGGCCTGAGTCCCACAGTACCAGTTCCTTCAAACTCAGGTAACTGATAGATGATGGTCTGTGATGAAAAGCCAACTGTGCATCAGTAATACTGTTCTGACAGACAGCTGGAGAGTGACTCTCTTGCTTTGGTGCAAAAGCCTCAGTCCTCAAGCCTCATGGTTAAGCACTGCTCAAGTCAACATTACCTCAATCTGCAGCTCATTCCACATGCAAATCCTGTACGGTTTTCTGCTGAATTTCTAGATTTTTCTGGCTACAGATGGAAAACCCATCCTAAAGCTACATTAACAAGGCAGGAAAGAAAAGAATTTTCACATGGGAACAAAACTTTATCTTTAAAAGATAAAGCTAATCCAGTTTTTTAATGAAGCTATACAGCACATAGCATAGCAATATGAACCTGACAGAAAGCAGATTTGGAAGGGCAGAGCACCAAAAAACATTTGCCTGCAGAGCAGGCAGTGGTTGCAGCATCAAGCACTCCAGAGTGACAGAACGAAATGATACGGGTTCCCTGTGCAACTTCAATTTTCCTTTTCTATGAATAGGCTTTTATATTCTTTAATTCTATAATCACAGATTACAATTTTTCCACCAAAAGGATTCCTACTTCTTTCAGTCCCCAGTAAGGACAGATTCAGGGGCCAGTCAAGGCCCTGACTTCTATAAAATCCCACCCTCATTTGCTGAGGTCACAGGGTGGAATGGAATGAATGAGGCCAGGATAAAGTTTTCCTATAAGGCTGTTAAATGTTGCCAGCGAAAACGGGCTTCTAGCTCTGTCCCTACATCCAGTTTTTATGCGGATGCTAATAAACCACTTGGACCAAACTTCTCAGAGGTGGCCACTGAGTCTATATGTTCTTCCTCATTTCTGCCAGGAGCCCTGGAAATTTGGGTCAGAATACCAAGCAATTAATCATTGCAGAAGTCAATACGCACTATTTTTTAAACGTGTCTGGTGATAGCTAAGATCTGGTATTTTGGAGAGAAGATAGCATTGTGTATCTCGGGCTGAGCATCCAGAGTCCATGAAATGGGGACAGTATCCCCTCAGTTAGTATGAAGAATTAAATTAATTTTTGACAAGTATTCCGTGGCCAATGAGGGAGAAGAGCCCAAGAGAACATGAATTGTTTTGCCTGTGGAACTCGGACAGCATGCAGTGTTTACAACCTGTATCACATGTTGAACAAAACCCAAACAAAATACCATATAGTTGCTAATTAAGCAAACATCCTGCATACTGAGTAAGGCAAGGATACTGTGGAAAAACTGCCACGTGGCTATGTAATTAAAGGCTGCATCATACTGAATATACAAGGGGGCAAATTAATGTTGCTTAACTTTACTTCTAGATTTTGAGATCCTGACTTTGCAGCCTTAATATGTTTTCCTTAATGTAGGTTGTGTGTGTGTGTTATTTCCTAGGTTTATGAAAGAGTGAAACCAAATTCTGTCATGTCTGATCTTAGCACACTCATTCCAGACTGAAGAAAGAGGGAGCAGTGCTTGGAAATAACTTCCTCTACACCTACCAGAGACTCACTACTCCAGTTTCTTTCCAGTCCCTTAGTTCTCTCTCTGATGGCTCCCCTCACCCAGCCAGGCTCCCATCACCCAGCCAGGCTCCCATCTGTCTCCTACAGATGCACAGGAGAAAGAGACAGCGAGAATCCCCAGCCCCAGAGGTAGGACACAGACAGGGCATGGTCTGGAGCAGCAGCAAGCACAGTCTTTGGGAAACAGAGCTGTGGATTTCCCAAGATCTCATCACTTTTTGCCAAATTTGGGAGGTCCGTCCTGGGATAGAGAGACCTATCTCTAACAGTGCTAACTATGCAACCCACAGCACAGTGGCAACAGACTTTCTAAAAATGTAAAAAAATAACCCTAGCTTTGTTCGGAGCTCTAGAAGTTAAAAAAAAAAAAACAAAACTTTGGAAAAAAAAGAACACAAACCTGCAAGTAGACAGCCTCATGAAAGTTGAAGGCGCACCAGTTAAAGGTCAGCGAAGTTATAAACAATAGTGAAAATGAGAACTATCAGACTACCTTGTGATATTTCTTTCAGTACTGTTTGTCTTAGTAGACAAAAATAAATCCAGAATTGCAGTTGCTTTACAATATCTGCATCGCATTTAAAGGCGTTTAAAGAAAGCTCTGCTTCATGAAGTTATCAATAGTGCCAGAGAAATTGGCTGCTGGTCACACCAATAAATAATCTCAGCATCCTTGCACAGCAGTGGTTTCACACCTGCCGGGGGTTAGTCCTGCACGCTGTGCACACCCAGGCACACCCTTCACACAGCACTGGCCTCCCTGACCCCGGCTGGAAGAGTCGGTTTAGGCAGGAGGTGCAGCCCAGCTTAGCCACGGTCAGCGCCAATTTGACAGAAAGCGATTGTCCTTCAGTTCCTCCTAAAAGCCCATGAGCCAGGGTTAACAGCATGCAAGTATTCACAGTGCTTAGCTATGTTGGTTGCTGAATCATACCTTTTATCAAACCAGTGCAGTTTTTGCACTAAATAACCCTGTCTATAAATGCTTGGATCATACTGGGTTAACATAATGCAGATATAATTGCCTCTGTGATAACACACCTAAAGAACAGCCACCGCCAGACTGCTCAGAGTTCTTCAGTGTTTTCCTTTCTTGTCTCCGCAGGTAGACGGAGTGCCCCGCCACTGAACCTCACAGGTCTCCCAGGGACAGAGAAACTTAATGAGAAGGAGAAGGAGGTGAGGAAAGGAGTGAAAATATAATCTGTATAAAACTTTTATCTTCACAGTGCAGGGTGCTCACACCATCTGCCTCAGGTGCTGTGAATATCACCTCAGCTATATGCCCCGACTACTCTTTCCTGCTCACAAAAATCATTCAGGTTTTCCAGTTGGCTTCTTAATTTCAGTTACTGTACTATACATACAACATAGCTGCAGCAAATTAGCTTATTTAGCAAAGAAAGGCGGAGCACACCAAGGTGCTGTTATGTGCTATTATAACATCCAGAGCGTGACATCCTCTCTTCCTCCGTTGTGAGACTGGGGTGAGCAGAAGGGTTATTTTTTCTTAATGAACATTGGTTTTAAAAATAGCAGAGGATTTAATCGAGGGCTTCACTGGACAGTTCACTGAACCTGAATAGCGGAGCGTTTTCTAGATTATAGATACCTCACAGCCAAACCTCAGCCAGTTATGGTTGTTTTTTCCGTGTAACACTAACGTGAACCATGGAGGCAATAACAGTGTATTGTTCTTTTCATGTTTTTTCCATATTTCTGCTTTACAGTACATATACCAAACTTTTTGTATGCGTGTGTGGCAGAGAATGGAATCTGCCTTTCTTTAAGCCGTGGGTTGTTAGCTCAGGCTGGGGTTGCAGTCTGCAGTCCATATAGAGTGCTCTTGCGCAGCCTGAAGCGCTCAGAGGCACGAGGAAGGCTCAACAGAGCAGACAGAAGTGGGACTGCAGCCCACGCGGAGACCCCCAGGAGAGGTAAACAGCGCAGCAAGGGGCCTGCTGTGTAGTCATGGCTCAGTTTCTTCTGCAGCCCAGTATAGGCCTGCCCTCTAATTCAGTGAAAGGCAACACTGGAAAACTATTGAAATGAAAGATCTTTGGGTTTTTTCAATAGAAATTAATCTGTCCTTAGATTGTTCACAAGGCAGATTTCAGCGTATGTGAAACGCAGATGTATTGCAGACTTGTCCCTCTGTGTGGAAGCTGTTTCCCCTTCACTGGGGATGGCGGCATTGAAAATCAGATCACAGATTCGCCATGGAACATGGCATTTCTGGCTCCATTCAGCATATAAATAATTGTGACTGGGACATTAATTTATGTGGGGAATCCGATTTCCTCGTCAGCTGAGACATAAAGTCTGAGTTCCTCCGAATTCCACAATTTCCTATCAATGAGGAACAATCATTAAGCATTTCCTTATTAAAAGGAAGCGGCCGCCAGTATCTCCATTGGGAGCGATACAGCGCACCGTCTAGAAGGCGGCTGGTATTTGGAAGCTGAGTAGGAGCATTGCAACCTAACAGCGGAGCGCCGGGGCTTTTGAAAGCAATTCCTTTTACCAAACAAACTTCCACGCACGCCAATGCCCTCCCTGCACGGTTTCCGTCCTAGACTTCCGGAGGGGGCAGGTGTTGTGTGCGTAGCTGTTTTTGTAGAAAGGTATTAAAGACTTAGTCTGCAGGGGATTAATAGACAGATGCCCTCCCTGGCTCTCGTCCAGCATGCTGAATTGCTGGTTGCAAGTCTCTTTGGCATGTGTACTTCCCTTGGTTTGTAAAGAACAACGCCCACACAGGACACACTCATAGTTATGCTCCTGTGAGCTGAGAGCTTGCTTTCATCCTCCTAGTTTATTTTTTAGTCAGGAATGTTTTTGAATACAGCAGCCAGAAAGCTCCTCCCCTCCCTACCTGTGGATCGAAACAGCTCATAATGCAATTACTGTATGCCTCCCCCATACAAAAAAAAAAAAACCCACATTTAAAATGTTTTCAGAAAAATACTCACAATGTTACTCCCCCAACAGGGCTCACAGAATGAAAGAGCATGACAAGTGTTAGTGTTTATTAACGTCACCTTTTGTCTTCCAGCTCTGTCAGATGGTGAGGTTGGTCCCTGGAGCCTATTTAGAATATAAAGCTGCTTTAGTGAACGAGTGTAACAAACAAGGAGGCCTGAGACTAGCGCAGGCTAGAGCACTCATCAAGATCGATGTGAACAAAACCAGGAAAATCTATGACTTCCTTATCAGAGAAGGGTACATCACGAAAGCCTGAGGACAGACATCAGCGCTTTGGCTGGAGCAGACAGATGTGGAGAAGCTTTGAAGTCACTTTGACTGCACTGAAAGATTTTAACAGTGTTGAATGAAGGACATTTCCTTTTGTTTAAAATCTTTTGGGGCTTTTTTTTTTTAAAAAAAAACAAGTAGGGAGCTTTGTTAAATTGTATGAATACTGACATCTCTTTGTCTGGTTTCCTTTTGACTCTGCTGTTTAACACTGCTGTTGTCAGAATTAGGCTGCCGCGTACCGCTGGAAAGAATCATATGCCATATAAGCTAATCTTAAATGTGAATGGGCATTCATTTCTAACACCTCTTGTAACTAAAAAGAGAATCATGGTACTGTTATTCTGACAGTGACACAGAATAAGGACAGGAGAGCAGCACGTAATGAGACACGCTTTGACTTTGCGCGAGTACGGCGTTATAGAAATGCAGTCCCCTCCCTTCGTGTACTCCTTCCTAAAACAGTGTCAGCTTTCAAAGGAGAGAGCACATGCCCGAGGGTATAAAAATAGAACTTGCAGTGGTCCAGCCTTTTTAACTTAATTGTGATAAAGGATGGGAAAGGACGTTGCAGGGAAGCTCCTCAACAGTTGTTGCTTTTATGTGATATTAGCACATATCACAGTGTGAGAGCACTGTACAAACCAGTAAGCTTCATCTGCTCCCTACTTGATTTGTGACTGTCAAGTTATATATAATCCCTCAGTTTAAGTCTTCGTTGCTCCGGCTCGTTGGAAAGGCTGGATGTTACAACCAGAGCAGCCTTTCGGAACATAAATAAAAAGCTGCTCAGTACCCTGATGTTCTCCCTCACAAAAGATAACAAGCGAAGAGCACGGCAGACGGCCCAGAGCACGCGCTTCAGCCCTCCCTGCCCTCCTGTACGCGGGGCCCACTCTTCTCAGCTTACCGCATGAGCGGCGACGTACCCAGCTGACCAGCAAAGCGATGCTAAGGTGCAGCAAGTTACTACGCGCACACACACCACCCTGTCACATCAGCCGGTCCACTGTACGACTTCAGTACAAAACATTTGTACTTGAAAATACAACTGGATGATGAAGATGGTTCTTTTCAGATGCAGCTTGGCATGGTTCACCAGACAGTAAACTCTTTATCAAACAGCTTCCATTCCTAAGGCTGAAATAACGTATGTTACCAAACAGCCAGGGCAGGTGGGATGGTGGGTGCTCTCAAGTTTGGGATCTCGTGTGAAAACTGAGCTACAACTATACTGATACCTATTTAAGGTGTTTAGGTTTGGGATTCCCCCCCCCCCGAGAGTAATTATCCTGTGTGCCTGAGGTGCCATTGAATGTGAAGTGTTTTGGTTTGTAATAAAATCAAAATTACTTGAAACAATCTTAAATCTGCGTTCCTGGACTCCAAGTGAGACTGTAAAGGTCATGCAACTGCCTGTATCTATATCCATCAGCTTCTCACCATGAGCGAGGAGAGATAAATGCACAACAGTGGCTGTATGGATGCAACCACTAAATTACCTAGAAAATATTACTGTTTAAAGAAAAGCGGCAGTAATAAATTACATGTTGAGGATTAAGGTCTGTAGAAATTGAGACTGGGAATGCCAAGGGAAGGGATGTAAAGCTGTAAATCCTGGGGAATGTTTTTCCCGGTTGTCTTTTAACGTTAAACAGAAAAAACACCTTCCCTCTTGCCTGGTCTCCTATGCCACGACACGTACAAAAAAGCAGTATGTGAGCCAAATACACGGGTACCTGCTGCGACCATCCTGAGAGCAGTGACACCCCCACCCAGCAAACTCAAGTGATGTCCCTTTGCCCCGAAGGGACCCGAACAGGAGCGTGAATGTGACCTGCTTTGACCAAACACAGAACTACCCGAACCTGAGCTGTTGCCGAGCCCTGTGCTTTGGGCAGTGCTAAATAATTTGGCCGTCTAGAAAATGCCGGGAAGAAAAGATCTCTGGAAAAGCAAACCTGTGATGCTAGAGCCGGCCAGGAGGGGAACCAGAAAAGAGACTTTTCCAAGGTAAGCAGGAGAGCGCGAGGCAGCGGGGCTGGGATGTTTCCCTCGCGTAGCATCAAAGTACAAAACCAAGAGGTTTTCCCCTTTCACAGGGCACGTCGCCGGCAGGGAGGGTGACGGGCTCCGGCGTGCCTGTGCCGGGCACAGTGCCTCTTTGCTGCTCCCGTTACCTTTACGGGCCAGGCTCTGACGCCGTGTACTGCGGCGCTGCAGAAAGGCGGCCAGAAAAGTGGCATCAGGAAAAGGCTGTTGGGTTAAAAAGCTCCACCTGTGCCTGCGCCGGGCTCGGGGGTGAGATGGGGACCAGGGGCCGGGGGAGGCACGCGGGGGCTGGCCAGTGTCATGGCCATGGCCACGGCCACCCCACCAAGGCAGGACCGTCCCGCTGCTGCTTACACCCGCGGTCTGAGGGCAGGCGAGCGATCAGCCGCCGGAGACGCACCGCCGGCAGGATTTTGGGTACAAATCTAATTTTTTAGCCGCTTGGAACACCGGCTGCGGCCGGACTGGCCGACGGGGGGGAGGCAGGACGGGGACCTCCTCACCCGAGAGCTTTCAAACCACTTCCAACAAATAAAACCCAACGAACAGACGAGCGAAACCCACCCAAACGGTGCCAGCTGAGCCCGAGCCCGTCTGCTCGGAAGCTTTAAAGCAGAGCAGGCTTTCTGCAGGAGGGTCCTCCAGGGCACGAGGGCTCAAGCCAATGCCAACGGATCCCTGCCCCTTCGGTGACAAACGCCGCCGGCGCTTCCTCCCCTCCGGGCTCTCGCGAGCGCCATTAAGCAGAGGGAAGAAAAGCCGGTGCTCGGGCACAGGGCAGCCCCTCTCCCCATCGTTCCTGTCCCCCTCCTCCCAGCCGCCTGCGCACTGCTATGGCCCCTCTGAACCATTTCCCGACG